ACCATCAAGTTTTATTTTCCCCTTGCCACCAGCAAGATGGAATGAACTACCTTAACAGTTCCCTGAACATAACCCTGCTTCTATCTTTGCCCCTTACGATCCAATCTTCTTCACACAGCATCCAAACAGACTTTCTTTAAACATGTAAATAATTAGATAATATCCTTCTCTTGTTTCATATTCTTCAATAGCACATCACTGCAAATAAAAGCTCTTTACCATGGCCATCAAGATTCTCCATAAGCTAGCCCCTGCCTAACTTTCTGTATTTTTTCTCTCTGCATGAGTTTCCACCTTACAGATCTTCAAAGGTCTTCAAAACCCTTTCTCGACTTTCCAACCAAAATTAGCTCCTTCCCGCTCTAAGTTGTTCTCTATCAATTATCTCATTTCATTTTCTCACAGCACTTATTATTAGAAATAATCTTGTATATACATTTATTTACCCATTTATCTGTCACTAAAAATAAGTTCCTTATGAACAAAACTATTTCTATCTTATTCACTTATATTGATGCCTAAAAAAATAGTAAGCACTCAGTAAATATTTTCTGAATCAATGGTTAAAAGAAATAGCAGCACATGTTCCACTCCAAAGATGAGATTAATGTTCCAACCTGTCAGACCCAAGTGCCTAAATTAGCAGAACTATTTTTCGGTATATCTGGTCGATCCAGAGTGTACTGAGTTTAAAACAGTAATTATCTGAGAGATACCTCCTAACATAGCATCCTGACCCTACTGCCATCACCACCAGCATTCTGCATCAGATGTAGACATTTGTTACAGACTAAGTGTTTCCTGATGCCCAGAGACAGGCAGCAGCTGTATGAATGATAAAAAGAGGTACAGAGGAAGCCACTTCCTCAGGAAGCCCTGGGGAGACCCTGGGTTCTCAAGTGCAACATCAGCCATCAAAGACTTCAAAAATGAGTGACACCACTGAACTGGCCATGCAGAGAAGGCAGTGCCTTGCCTTGGCTTGAACCTTTGGCCCTAAGAATTTCAGGAGGCATTAAAGAAAATTAATTATGAGACACTACATACTTATAAGTTCCTCGAATTTCATTTTGCTCTTCTGAGACTCTGAAGAAGTCTTCTTTTATGTTGGCAAGTCAAAGTAGCAGTGATTACTATACAACCATGACTATTATCTTGAGTTTTGAGATAAGAACTGGAGATAACAAAAGTGACAAACCAATAAGAAGTAACGGTCCTATTTCAAACATCTTTGTCCAAAGGATGGCATAAACTAAAATTCAAATGTGGCATCATGGCATACAGCAAAGAAGCTACAAAATCCAGTATAGGCAAGTTTCAGGAATGTAAATTTAATCATGCAATTATGGAGATCCAAAATTAGAGTAAAACCAAATGGTTTAACTACATGCTGTTACATTGCAATGTTATTTCTGCTATTGTTCATCACCAGGGAACAATGGTACTCTGGGATAAGAAAACAGAAAAAAAACAGTTAATGCTAATAAGAAAGGCATGATATCCCAGCCCTTCTTGCACTGATTTCTTCTCATATAAATTTTCATTAATTCAATATTTAATGAAAAATTCTGCTAGGCACAAAAGAAAATAAATCCCTACAGAAACCCCTCAGAGAATTTACAATCTAGAGGATAGAAAAGGAAAATATGCAGAAGCTGTTAAAAAAAAGCGGGGGAGGGGGATTCTCAATCAACTTTTAGAGACGGATAAGCAACATTTGGACAAAGATTCCAGGACTCTTTCCTGAAGACAGATTAGTCACCTTGAAGGATGAATGAAATATTGTTAGCAGACATACTGTAGACAGAACAGCCTCAGTAAAAGGGTGCAAGGAGAAAAAGGTGTGCTCGAAGAACAACAGTACTTTAGGCTGGGGCCCAGGACATGTGGTGCAATGGTGGGAAGGACCCAGACTGACTCAGGGACATCACTTTTCTCCCCTGCTACCCACCCACATTACCTAAGACCCTATTCTCTATATATGTGGTAGGTTCTAGGTCGTACTTATTAAATACATATGAGGATAAATCCAGATATTAAAAAATTAAGTCTATTCAATTAACTTTGGTGATAATGATGCTCTGGGGTATTCCTGGATTTTCCTGATTATGTGGGTTCCAGAAGAACTTTTTCCATCCTTGGTTAAGGACAGGTACTTATATTATCTCTCTAATGTATGGGAACATTTAAAGAAAGTTCACATGACCAAGAACAAGTAGATGGCAAGTTTGTATTTGTACATCTGCAAATTTGGAAAGTTGTTGGATCTACTACCTTGCAAATAAGAATAACAAGGAAGAGGAAGACAAGAACAATGACTGATCTATATATCAATTCTAAGTACTATAATTTCAAAATGAAGAGCTAATACTCTCCCCCCCCACCACCCATGCCAGGGATTGAATCTAGAGGCGCTTAACCATTGAGCCACATTGCCAGGCCTTTTCATGTTTTATTTTCAGACAGAGTCTCACTTAGTTGCTTAGGGCCTCCCTAAGTTGCTGAGGACCTCACTAAGTTGCTGAGGCTGGCTTTAAACTCATTATCCTCTGGCCTCAGCCTCCCAAGTCACTGAGATTATAGAAGTGCACCACCACACCCAGCTAAAGAGCTAATATTCTTACAGAACTTCCAAAAAGCTATCAGTACCTATAAATAAACTTGTTTTATATTTCCATTTTATTTGTTTACTTATACTCACAATACTGGGGATTGAACCCAGAGGCCCTCTGCTACTGAATCTCACCTTTTTTTAATTTCATTTTGAAATACAGTCTCACTCGGATGCTAAAACTGACCTCAAACTTGTGATTCTCCTGCTTCAGCCTCCTGAGTCACCAGGATTATAGGTGTGTACCACCATGTCCAACTATAATTTTATTTTTAGAAATATACTCACTGCTCAGCTCTTAACTTACTGTGCAACTGAAGACAATAAACTCAACCTTCCTGAGTCTCTCAACAGGGAGGAGGGTGAAGAGAAACTGACAGCCGGAGATGAGCCAGGCCTGAGGAGGTGGCCACACCCATGAACTAAGAGATGTTCTTCTGGCATCAAAGTGTCCCGACCTTCTCAGAGCCTCACTATGCACCTACATCTGGTGTACAGGGATGCTGCTATACACAACTTTTCCATCCTTTGGCTGGATGCTATCTAAAGCATCTGAAACTTCTAAAATGTCCTCTAGATCTATTTTATGATCTTGTTTTTAGATGTAAGCATAAAGCCTTAAAAGAAGCATCTTAAGTGAATCTAGTACTAGGCAGATTTCAAAAGCTGTTTTAAAAGCATCAGCCATTAACATAACAATTAGCAAACTTAAGAGACTAGAACATAGAAATTAAACATTTAAAGAACTCAGTGTTTGTCAAATCATAGAACATGTATGTATGTCGATGTGTGTACATACCCATCCACCCTCCCCACTTACATACATACACACACACACATACACACAAACACACATAATTAGTCATCCTAAGTCCATTACAAATCATATATAAATATACATACACATACATACACACACACTCATGCACAGATTCACAGAAACTAAGGATTACTATAAGGACAAAGGACACATATTATGAGACATAATCAAAAAGCTAAAGTCCCTACTATAAATGCAGTGGGGTACCTAAAGCTACATGCTTCAAATTCACAAGTTAGTGTGAATTTCATCCTTATATTGTTATCAAGGACACATGTCTAATGTCATGTTAACCTTCTGAGTCCTACATATCAGTGTTTAAAGTTTCACAAAACATGGCCATATTTCTCAGAGCTCTAATATTCTTTCTTGACATAAAATTCCTGGTTCTCTTCTTTTATCAATTATGTGTGTGTATGTATGTATATATATGTATACACACATATATATATAATATTGATATATACACACACACTCAAGCAAACCTATACATTCAAACTAATAAACATATATTCACAGAATGTAAAACCTACTCTAAATAAATATCAAAGAGTACCTTTACATAGTATGGACAGAGATCAGGAGAGGTAAGTCATTTCATTTACAAACAATTATGTTTTGAGACCACTAAGGACACTTAAGTCTTACCACTACAGACAAAAAAAAATCTATTAAAAAAAAGATTTGTATTGAGAGTTTATTACACATTTTGTTTTACTTTCTTTCTGTTCTAGTCCACCTCTGCCAACAAGAGTAATTAGATGACATCTAGAATTCCTTTCGGCTCTCAAGACTTTTGATCTCCAAATTAAAGATCTATGATGATTAATACACTATCTTTTCACCATGATCTAAAAGCAATCAAATCAGTCTTAAAACAAGATGTTTTTGCACAAATGAAGCAGAAAAAAAAACAGTTGGGGATCTTAATGCACTAAATGTGAATGATTAGCCTGCAATTTAATGCTGATGTTAATTTTTAAGAAGAAAGGTAAAGTAAGCAGCTTATTAGAATGTATAAGGATAAATTTCGTATGAGAAGCTAGAGGTAAATGTAAACCAGAATAGAGTTCTGTCTGCCTGATGAGCCATGTGTTGATCTTGCCTTACAGCCACCAATCACTGCTTCTGTTAGCCCTGAGCAATCTTCAAGCAAACTTAATGAAACAGTTGTACATGTGAGAAATGTAAGCCCAGATCTGAGTAGGTAATACTAATTTTCTGACAGTGAGGGTATGATGTTATTCCCTACGCCACCTGGATACAACACAGAAACTTATAGCAAACATTTTCCCAAAGAGTGTAGTTATAACCATCCCACCAATGTGCAGATTGACAGTGTGGCTGAGTACAGCATTAGTAGAAATTTCCCCAAAAATTTTATCCCAGAGTTACTGAATATCAGAATTCCCTTAATAAAAAAGAAGAAATAAGTATCTTCAAGTCTCAATTCTTTCAAAATAAGCCATTCCACAGCTCCAAGAGTTTCGAAGTGAATACAGCTCATCTGGTAGCCCCTCACCCCCAGCCTGCCAGAGTCTGCAAGTGAAACCTATGAGTCTGTCTTACCTGTAATCTGACTCTGTCCTTGTGGATTAAAAGGACTTGGTGCAGAGTTCAGGGAGGGCCGTGGGTTCTGAGGCGGGACACCTACTCTCATACTGGGATGAGGAATGCGCCCTAAATCACTGAGGCGGTCAGAGAACAAACTAGGTTTAGAGTCATCAAGCTTCTGTCTGTGCCCTGGAAACAGCAAATCATAAAATAAAAGCATATTAATTAGCTGAACAATTGACCATGCTAAATAGATATGTGAACATACATATGGGGTGGTTTAAGCCAAGGAATTATCAATATAGATATTTATAATGATGTGTCTATATAATGTCTATATAATGCCTTCCTTTTCAAATTGCTTTTTAAGCATTATCTGCTGGCAAGCATTTCTAGTTCTGTTCTATAAATGGAGAGCTGAACATTCCAGAGGGCAACTTAAGAGTTGAGAGCAAGAGGAGCTCTCTGGACACCTCCTCTGGCCTCTCAGTGAAAAGATGGAAAAAGTAGAGTTTCTCTGTTTCATGATGAAGGAAACCTCATTTGAAAACTCAATAGTCTATGCATGTTAGACATGCTATCTCAAAGTTTGGGCAGAAGCAGAGGCAAACATAGTTTTCAAAGAGAAATATTCCTGAAGACCATATTGACTTTTTTTTCTTTTCTGTGTTACAACTACCACTTGCACTGAAACCTGTTCTGAAAAATTAAAACTCACACCTACAGTCCCTCTAAAATAAAAAAATAAAAAGAAAGAAAAAAAATGTAAGCAATGAAATAAAATTATCAAGAAAAATCTAGATATTTCATGATATGCCAAAGCCCAAAAGCATATAATAAACTCTGTTAAATCACAGAGAAATTTTTTTTAATTTTAAATCTACTGCTGTGGTTTTATAAAAGAAGCTGAAAATACTCTTTGGCTAAACATGTGAATGTGACAATCATGTTTTTTAAATAACTTTTTCTCTTCTAGGTTATTCAAGTTTAAAACCTAAGGAAATTCTGAAAATTGAAGAAATCTGCAAATTAAAATATAATCAAGATAATAAGATTTCTTAAAAATCATCAAATAATTCTTAAAGGAATATATCAGAGGCTAGGCACAAATATAATAGAAAAGCATCAGAATCTGGGTGTGACCTAGTGTAATGTATCTGCAGAGTGGTTCTGCAGTAAGTGAGTTCATGGTTAACACACACACACACACACACACACATGAGTTCAGGGTTAACATGCGCACATACACACAACACACACACACACACGCTGAGGGTCCCCCTTCTCTACGTTCTGAACCATGAGGATCTAATATGCTGCCCCATCATTTTCCTAAAAATGTTCTGGTAACTGAAGTTGATTCAAGGAATAACTGCTGAGATGATGACTGCATTAAGAATTTGCACTTTGAAGAAAAACTAAGGAAATTAGGATTATTATCCTAAAGGAAAAGTCTTGAAGGAGTATTGTTAAAACTACTTGAAGCATGGGAGTTCTTCACTATTTCACTGCTCTGTGGAGAGTGCAAATATCTCATCTCCCACTTAACACAGGACAAGAGGAATCTATCAGGATAGGGTTAAGTTGAACATTAGAATTTCCCAACTATAAGCTGTCTTCATAAGAAAAATTCCTTATTTTATTTGCCCCAAAATGTATTTTCCTGTCTCCTTTTTCATTGCCTACCCAGCCCAAAGAAAACAGACAGGAAGCCAAGGCTCAGTAATATGAGTGTAGCTGTCTCCCCAGCCAAACATGTTTCAACTAGGCCCATTAACTGAAATGCACCCACCACCCTATTTCCTGCCAGTGCAAGTCTAGGGCATCTGCTATAACAGAGGGACTAGATCTCAAAAAAAAAAAAAAAAAAAAAAGACTGAGAAAAACTAGGGGGATGAACTGTTTGCTAATAGTTGTTTTCCCCCTTATTTATAGGGTTTTTTCCCTCCAGATTACAAATAGATTTTAGACCCTAAAGGACTTTTAGAGGGGATCCAAAATAATTCGTAGACCCCTGCTAGTAAGGTGTTCACAGACAAAGTGTTTACAGATGAAGTAGTCGGCAGAGGTAGGTCAACTAGCCAATGGTCTTCAACTATTGACTAGCTCAGTTTGGAAAGAACACAATCCTGTCCAAGTTGACTGAGCTTTCCACTCATCATGAGGTACAACCAATGCTGGAATGCTACCTTCCTGTCCCAGTTGCTATGGAAGACTAAAAATTATCTAGATCATACAGTGAGACACCTGAAACTAAGCCAATGAGTGAGGCATTAAGGCTCGTTTTCAACATAAGCAAAGAGAGTAGCAAGGATTCAATAACAAAGTTAATAACTCATCCATTACCCTAAACATATTGTTGTAGCCTAACTCACCAAACTTCTATCAGTACATCTTGCTGGGTCTAACTATTTTCACAGTTAGTGATTTACATAGTACTCATCACAAATCCACAGAGTCTGTGTCTTACACACACACACACACACACACACACACACACACACACACATTGGTGTGTACTAATTCAGCTGCAAATATTAACAAGAAAAGTTGTGGAATTGTCTGTGGAAGCTATTTTTTTAATAGGCCATATTTTTGGAATGGCAGATTCCCTGAAGACTAAAGGCTAGGCTACATGATCTTGCATGGTTCCTTTATACACTGAAACTTTATGTGGGGCATGGGTCATAAGAAAATTTAATAAACTTTGCCTCTGCTTTCTACAGACTTTTCATTAGGTTTTCATGGAGACTGCATGAGATGTGAGCTCAGTGATTGGATGTGGGAGTACATTTTTTTTTCTTAGCCCAGTGCTTTAGGAAGTAATGGGAGGTTATAGGTAAGAATAAAGGCCTTGGAATAGCACTAGTGTGAAAAACTAAGAGCAGAAGAAATTTTAAAAGCTCTCGGTGATTTTCTTTTAGAAATTATCTTCAAAGAGAGCTACCAAGCATCTATCTGGGGAGATACATATATGCACATATATACATACACACACGCATATACATACATACACACATATATATAAAATATATTCAGTTTCCCCTGTAGATATTTTCCCTTCATAGCAACCACCAAAACCACAACAAAATTCTTACAGTACAATGAAAAGAAAAAAGCCAAACAGGTTCTTCATCTTTCAACCATTCTACCACCAAACTACATCACAGTATACTCAAATGACAGGCTGAAAGAAGATATACTTAAACCTTCAGCACCAAGCAAACCTTTCAGAAATTGAGAACTCAGGAGACAAAGGACACACTGACTTGGATCAAGGACAGAGTACTCTGCCATGTTGCAGGGAGGACTAAACCTCATCCAAAGGGCTGAAGAGGAGCTCTTCCAAGCAAGAGGACACTATAAAGAATAGAAGATTCCTTTGTGTTATACTTGAACTCTTTATGTAAAAGCTCAGTAGTCCTGGATTCCCTTCACTAGCTGAACTTTTTCCCTAAAAACAGTGGTCCCTTCAAGCCTGTGGATAATGAAATCCCCTAAAGGGTTTTTGGAAAAAGTGGCTGTTCAGACCCCATATCAGATTAATACAGAATTTCTGGGGTGGGTCATGAAGAAAAGTTGTTTTTTAAAAGCTCACCACATGATAAAATATATGTCCAGGGATGGGAATTCCTGCCCAAGATGTAAGTTTTAGGCCCATCACAAATGCCTCTGCCCTGACTTGCAGGTTTGTGTGTCCTACTGCCTACTTGACAGTTCCTCTTGAAATATCTAGAAGGTATTGTTAAATGCTTCATACTCAAAATAGAATTCTTGATTCTCTTTCCAGAAAAAACTTATTCCTTCTTAACAGTCCCCCATATCAATGAATGGCACTAGCCACTCAGTTGCTTTAAGCCAAAAACCTAGACATTTTCCTTGATTTCTCTTTATTCCCCACTCCCCACATTCAACCCGTTACCAAGTCCTGTCTTCTCCATCTCAATACTACATCTTAAATCTATTCTATTCTCTGCTTTTCTACTGGCACAACCCCAGTCCAAATCCCTATCATTTCCCTCTGGGCATCTGACTTTGTCTCCTTTATAGTTTTCCATCCCAGGACCTTCCTACATCTCTGAAATGCTCTCCCCCTGTTACTTTGTATGACCCATTCTCATCTTTTTCATCCCTTATAGTGAGGATGAACACCACTTCAAGATACCATGTCTGGCCTGGCGCAGTGAGCCCGCCTGTAATCCTAGTGGCTCAGAAGGCTAAGGTAGGAGGATCATGAGTTCAAAGCCAGCCTCAGCAATGGTAAGGCATTAAGCAACTCAGTGAAATCCTGTCTCTAATAAAATACAAAAAAGGGCTGGGACTGTGGCTCAGTGATTGAGTGTCCCATGTTTGCCTACCATAACCAAAGTGGGTTCCCACCTTCTCAAGCATACCCTCTCTTTATTTCCTTCCTAGCAGTTATCATAATCTGTAATTATCTTGTGTTTTTAATTATCTCTCCTGAAAGAGAAATTTCATGGAACTGAAAGTTCCATGAGAATGAGTGTTTTGTTTTGTATACAGTGTCTGCCATACAGTAGGTTCTCAATAAATGTTTATGCAATAAATGAATGAATATTCCCCTCTTTTAGATAAATGCTTTGACTAAAAGAAAATTTTCTGGCCCAGGATATCCTATTACAATACTATCTTTCCCAAAATACTCTTCTCTTTTTGTCTGGTAATCTAATGAAGTCAGGGAGCAAAATCTTTCTTTAGGGACAAGCCCCTACTGGTGCTTCCTATGAAACTACACTGAAGGACATTCACTTAAGTAAGAGCTTGCTTGCTTCCTGAAAAACCATCTTATTTCACTATAATTCTTAAACATTGTTGAAACTAATTTAGAAACAGAAAAATGAAAGGCAAATGGATATAATTTAGATTCTAAATTTTAGAGCAATGTACTTCTTCTACAGAAGAGGACCTTGAGTCCTTGAGAGGGGATGTGATTTGCCCAGAGTCCCATATTTAGTGGCAGGATTAGAACCCAGGTTTCCTGATTGCTGGTCCAGTGTTCTTTTTTTCATTGCCAACCAGCTTAATTTAGAACACAACAGAGCAGCAGAAGTCATTCAGGGAAAATCATGACCAATAATGAATTTAAAATGAAGAAGAAAAAGCAGTTTTCAAAAAAGATTTCTTTCAAAAAATTGAGTGTGTTTGGCTGAATATGACCTTTGTTGCAA